GAGGCGCCGCAGGGCAAGTCATTCTCGCGTTGAATTTGTCCCTCGGCTCCTCGGCTGCAGCGTTCCCAGGGGCCCCCCAGGGGTCGGGGCCAACGCCCCTAATCCGAGGCGCCGATTTCGCTACATATTCTCGTGGGCAGTGCTCTTGGGCGTTCTGGAACGTCTGGTGGTCTGGTGGTCTGGTGGTCTGGTGGTCTGGTGGTTTGGGGGTCTGGTGGTCTGGTGGTCTGGCGGTCTGATGGTCTGGTGGTCTGGTGGTCTGGTGGTCTGGTGGTCTGGTGGTCTGGTGGTCTCGCGGTCTGGTGGTCTGGCGGTCTGGTGATTTGGTGGTCTGGTGTTCTGGTGGTCTGGTGGTCTGGTGGTCTGGTGGTCTGGCGGTCTGGTGGCCTGGCGGTCTGGTGGTCTGGTGGTCTGGCGGTCTGGTGGTCTGGTGGTCTGGTGGTCTGGTGGTCTGGTGGTCTGGTGGTCTGGTGGTCTGGTAGTCTGGTGGTCTGGTGGCCTGGTGGTCTGGTGGCCTGGTGGTCTGGCGGTCTGGCGTCGTCGGGCAAACGACGACGCAAGCGCGAGCAACCTAAGAGGGGAAATAGCGTACCAATCTTGTGATTGGTACGCTATTTCCCCTCTTAGGTTTGGTGGTGCTAGACGCGCTCCTTTTGCTAGACGCGCCCCTTTGTTAGACAGGCTCCCTCGCCACGCTGATTAGACAGACCTCTGCGGTGCTAGACGCGCTCCACTGTTACACGAGCCACCTCTGTTAGGCAGACCCCCTCGCCGAGCAGATTAACAAAAACTCAGCGGTGCTAGACGCGCTCCTCTGTTAGACGCGCCCCTGCGTTACGCAGCCCTCCTCTGTTAGACAGCCTCCCTCGCCAAGCCAATGAAACAAAAAAATCAGCGGTGCTAGACGCGCTTCTCTGTTGCACAGGCCCCTCTGTCAGACCGGCCCCCTCGCCCAGCTGATTAAAACAATCTCAGTGAAGCTAGACGCGCTCCTTTGCTAGACTTGCCCCTGTGTTAGACAGGCCCCCTCGCCCAGCTGATTGAAACATATCAGTGATGCTAGACGCGCCCCTCTTTTTACACAAGCCCCCCTCTGTTAGACGGACTCCCTCGCCGAGCTGATTAAAAACATCTCAGTGGTGCTAGGCGCGCTCCTCTGTTAGACGCGCTCCTCTGTTACACAAGCCCCCTCTGTTAGACAGGCCCCTACCCCTCCTTGTACTTCTCCACTTCCCCCCCTCTCCCCGTTGCCGTCCCGCCCCCCGCTTTCCTCATTATCCTCTTCTTCCCTTCTCAGGCCCACGGTGGCTTACGTCCTTGCTGTTTCTCCCGACCCTGGCTCGCCCAACAGCCCCCTGTGCAGACGTGCTGCACAGGGGCGTCGTAGAACAGCTTGCTTGTGCACGGTTTCGAGCCTCCATCGTCTTGCCACTTCCTCCGTCCTGTTCCTCCTCCTCCCCTGTCTTCCCTCCTCCTCCTCCTCCTCCTCCTTCCTTCCCCCCTCCTCCTCCTCCTCCTCCTCCTCCTCCTCCTCCTCCTCCCCCCTCCTCTCTCCTCTGCCGTCTCCTCCTCCTTGACACCTCGCCCCTTGACCACCTGCCCACCTCGCCACCTCACCCGTGGACAACCTGGCCACCTTACCACCTTAGCACCTCACCCCTTGACCACCTGCCCACCTTGCCACCTTACCACCTTACCGCCTTGCCACCTTACCACCTGACCAACTTGCCACCTCACCACCTGCCCACCTCGCCACCAGACAACCTGGCCACCTTACCACCTTAGCACCTCACCCCTTGACCACCTGCCCACCTTGCCACCTTGCCACCTTACCGCCTTGCCACCTTACCACCTGACCAACTTGCCACCTCACCACCTTACCACCTGACCTCCTGACCACCTGACCACCTGACCACCGGGCCGCCGGACCGCCGGACCACCGGACCACCTGACCACTTGACCACCTGACCACCTGACCACCTGACCACCTGACCACCTTGCCACCTTTCCACCTTACCACCTTATCACCTTAGCTCTTTTACGGCCTGTCGGCCCCTCGTCAGCGACCAACAAAGAGAGAACGGACGCTTAAGGACACGAGAAAACGCGTGTAGATATCCATTGGCGCGGCATCATTTTTTCAGGGAGTTCCAGAGGATAAAGTAAACTGCCCCCCTTCCCCCTCAGAGCCCTAGAACCACCTTGCCACCTTACCGCCTTACCACCTTATTACCACCACACCACCTGACCATCTTACCAGCTGACCACCTGACCACGTGACCACCGGACCACCTGACCACCTTACCACCTACCACTTTACCACCTGACCACCTGTCCACCTGTCCAGGCTTCGCCAGGTGAGTGCCCACATAGGTCCCTTCTGCCTTCTCCCGCTTGGCCCGCCCGCGCCTTTCGCAGGACACGACCTCCGAGATCATAGAGCTGCAGTTCGGAAAGTTGACGGCCATGCAGCTGATAGATTTGCAGAAGAACCTCGCCTCCTTCGCCCAGCTCACAGGGGTGTCCTTGGCGCTGGGGACTGGATGTCCAGGCGCTGATCTCATCGTGTCCATTTGGGAGAAGGTCGCGCGTTTCTTGACATCGAGGTTCCGGGATGGCAAGCATCGAAAACGCTTGCGGCCAATCACCTCCAACCCGCGCTTCCTGGCGCCCCCCAGGAGGCCCCGAGACGCCCCCGAGAAGGGCCCCAAGATGGCCCCCAAAGGGCCCCAACCAAGCTCTATTATGATCGAGCTGTGTTGGGGCCCTGTCGGGGCCCTCTTGGGGCCGCCCCGGGGCCCTGTCGGGTTTCTCCGAGGGCCCGGGGGGGGGCGAAAAGCGCCCCAAGACGGGCCTAAGAAGGCCCCAGAACGCCCCCAAGAGGGCCCCAAGAGGGCCCCCAATGGGCCCAAACCAAGCTCAATCATCTAGAGCTGGGTTGGGGCCCTGTCGGGGCCCTCTGGGGTCCGCCCTGGAGCCTTCTTGGGCTTCTCCGATGGCCCCCGGGGGGGCGGGCGAAGAGTGCCCCGAGACGGGCCCAAGAAGGGCCCGAAAGTGCCCCAACCGCGCTCTCTGGGTGCGGGCCCTCTTGGCGCTCTTTCGGAGCTGTCCTAGAGCCCTCTCGGGCCCCTCCGAGAGCCCCAGGGGGGGCCTTAGGCCACCGAGACGACCCCCAGGACAGGGGGGTCAGCGAGGGCACGCGAAGCGTCAAGAAATGTGGTGACGACGAGGTGGTTAGGAATGCAGGAAGCATTCCAAATAATCTCAGGGTTTGGGGGGATCTGTGCCAGCCATTTGGGCCATTTCCCAGAGGAGCAGAGGGGGATGATGATGGCGATGATCGTGAGGAGGAGGAGGAGGAGGCGGAGGAGGAGGAGGAGGAGGAGGAGACAGAGGAGGAAAAGGACAGGACGAACGGGGTGTACGTGTGTGGGTGTGTGTGCGTGTGTGTGTGTGTGTGTGTGTGTGTGTGTGTGTGTGTGTGTGTGTGTGTGTTTGCGTGTGTGTCTGTGGTGTGCGCGCGTGTGTCTGTGTGTGTGTGTGTAAGTGTAAGTGTAAGTGTAAGTGTGTATGTGCGTGCGTGCGTGCGTGCGTGCGCGTGTGTGTGTGTGTGTGTGTGTGTGTGTGTGTGTGTGCGGTGTGTGTGTGTGTGTGTGTGTGTGTGGTCGCGGGGGCGCGCGCGCGTGCGCGTGTGTGTGTGTGTGCAAATGGGGAGGTTGCTCGGGTGAACGGGCGCGTGTATGTAAATGAGCGTGTACGTCTGTGTTTTTTCCCATACATGGGCTCTGCCTAGAAGGGTTCTTGTCCTGCGAGCTGAAAGGGCCGGGCAGTGGGGCTCGCCCCGGGCGGGCCCCCCGGCATCCGCCCCGCGGTTCCCCCAGCCCCCTGGGAGCTTTAGCTATAGCTTTAGCTTTAGCTTTAGCTTTAGCTTTAGTTTTAGCTATAGCTGTAGGCTACAGCCTATAGCCTATAGCCTACAGCTTAGCTTTAGCTTAGCTTTAGCTTAGCCCTACCTTAGCTTTAGCTTAGAGTCAGCTTAGCTTTAGCTTAGCTTTAGCTTAGCTTTAGCTTAGCTTTAGCTTATCGTTAGCTTAGCTTCAGCTTAGCTTTAGCTTAGGTGTAGTTTTGTTTTAGCTTAGCTTTAGCTTAGCTTAAGCTGAGCGTTAGCTTAGCTTTAGCTTAGCTTTCGCTTAGCTTTAGCTTAGCTTGGCTTAGCTTCACCTTATCTTGAATTGAGCTTCAGCTTAGCTCTAGCTTAGCTTCAGCTTAGCTTCAGCTTAGCTGCAGCTTAGCTTTAGCTTTAACTTAGTTTTAGCTTAGCTTTATCTTAGCTTTAGCTTAGCTTTATTGTCACTACTAATGCTGCTTTCCTAGGGGCTTCAACTCCTAGGTCGTGTCGCACTGGGGTAATGTTTGTGTGTGTCTATGCGGTGCTGGTGCTCTGGCAAATGGGCGGTGTGCGTGACTGTGCGTGCGCGCGGGTGTGTGTGTGTGTGTGTGTGTGTGTGCGTGTGTGTGTGTGTGTGTGTGTGTGTGTTTGTTTGTGCGTGCGTGCTTGCGTGTGTCCGTCCGGGGTTGGTGCTCTGGCGAATGGGGACTCACGATCTACTCCGAGGTGCTCTAGAGCCTCCAACAGACTCCGACACTTGCCAAGGAGCTCCCAAGAGAGCCTCCAGCCCCAGCACATTTCGATGTTTCTAGATTCTCAGACGGCCAAAGAGGGCCCCAAGAGCTGTCCAAGAACGGACCGCTCCGAGATGCTCTACAGCCTCCAGGCAGACTCCAACAGATGCCAAGGACATCCCAAGACAGCCTCTAGGCCCAGCACATTCTGCCGCTTCTGAATTCTCGCAAGCCCCTAAAAGCCACAAGGTTTCCAAGCCGACTGCCCCCCGCCCCCTGCCCTGGCGACGCGCCAATCGCCTTCCCCCCCTGCGGAGGGAAGAACGCCAAAGTCAACAAGGCGCCGTGCTGGAGCAAAGCTATGGACAAGATTTCCCCTACCCTGGGTCCTGCACGACCAGCGGCTCGCCCTCGCTCTCCACCCCCAGGAGCGCGGCGCGCGCGGCGGGGCAGTGGAGGAGGCACTGCAGAGGCGCGTTGAGGTAGCAGGTGTTGCACAGGTTCGAGAGGCCCGGGTACGGGCGCTGGCCGCCGCGAGACCGATGCAGGGCGGGCTGCCTCCAACGGTCTTCGTCGTGGACGTCGTTCCCCTCGCACCAGTGCTGGTGCAGCATCAGCAGCGCCTGCTCTGCGCGCGCAGCGCGACGGTCATCCTGCCGCGCTGCCTCCGACTGCGCCACCAGCGCCTCGATGCGCATATTCAAGCCCCGAGCGGCGGGCGTCAACCGAGTGGACCGCCTCGCCCTGGCCCACCGTTTCGCAAGGTAATTCTCTTCTGGCCCAACTTTCGTGCGAAGCGGCATGCGGCCGTGCTGCTGGTGAAAGGCCAACGCATCGTGGAAGGCGCTGGCAGCTCGATCCTGGCGGCCCCCCGCTGTCCGGGGAGTTGGCCGTCGGCTGCGCGCTGACCCGGGGGCCCCTCGGCCGCGCGCGCCCGAGGAGGGGGCGCCTGGCGTCTGAAGGCGCGCCTTCGAGGGGGCCCCTGGCGTCTCGGGCAAGTGCGGCGACGCCGCGCGCTTCCACGTCATCCTTCGCCGAGGCTGGCCCTCCCGCTGGCGCTGCGGTGTCAGTGGGCCGCCCTCCAGGACCTGCGCGGGCTCCTATATCAGGCGATGGAGCTCCGCGTGCCGATCTGGGGCGCGCTCGATCCGCCTCCGGTCCGCCGCGGCCGCGTGCTCGGTGTCCCGCAGGGGCCCATGCAAATATGATCCTTTGCTCGGTATCAGGCGGACTTGAAACTTCGGGCCCCCGGCGCGCGTCTTCTGGACTACTCCGACCCTGCATTGGGCCCCGCTCCCCTTCGGGGGCATCTGCGCGGCGCCCCCGCAGCGCGCCGCCGGGGCCCCGCTGCCGGGAATCCCCCCGACTCGCGCCCGTCGTCCCGGGCGGGGAATCCGGGCGACGAGCGGGGGTTGTCCGCAGCGGGCTGCGCCCGGCGCGCGCCCGCGGGCCAACGGCGCCAGCTCGAGCCGCAATGGCAATGCGCGCGGGCAGGACGGGGAAGAACGAACGCAGCTCGAAGGGCGCAGCGGCGGAGTGGCGGACGGAAGCCCAAGTACCCCATTATGGGTTCCAATGTACCCCAAGATGGCCCACGGGAGCAAGACACCGCTTCGGTTGGCCCCAGGTGTCGGACGGCCTCAAGGACGCCCAAGATGCCTCAACCAGCAATCCGATGCACCCCAAGATGGCCCCGGCGAGCAAGATGCCGCTGGTCCCGCATAAGCCCCATGAGACCTGTGCGACCGAATTTGCGTTTCGGAGCTCAGGGCTACAAACAATGGGTCTGGCTCCAGGTGTCGGGCGGCCTCAAGGACGCCCAAGACGCCCCAAAAAGGACGCCAATGCAACCCAAGATGGCCCCGGCGAGCAAGATGCCGCTGGTCCCGCATAAGCCCACTGAAACCTGCGTGACCGTTTCGGAGCTCAGGGCTATAAATAATGGGTCTGGCTCCAGGTGTCGGGCGGCCTCGAGGACGCCCAAGACGCTTAAAAAAGGACTCCCATGTAACCCAAGATGGCCCAAGATGGCCTCAGGACTGCCCAAGAAGCTTGCAAGACGGTCCAAGAGACTTCCAAGGGAGCCTCCAGCAATGCCCAAAGAAGCCCAAATCATAGATTCTCAACCGCCGCCGCCGCCGTCGTCGTCGTCGCCGTCGCCGCCGCCTCAGAGGAGCTGGAGGAGATTTAAAGATCTGGTACCACGAACAACTTGGACAGCTGGTTTTTGGCCGTTTTCGGTTTGCTGTGGCCCTCAGCGGACCCCGGGCCAAAAATCGGCCCAGAACGAAAGACGGCCGGCGTTGACAGCTCGAAGCCATGTTTGTAGCCTCTTCTTGCGCCGTTTCGGACTGTCGGAAGCTGTAAGAATCGAGAGCGCGCGCAAACTTGCGAAACCCCTAAGACAGATTCTGGTTCTTGGGGCATCCAAGACGGCCCAAGGGGCCGTCTTGGGAACCTCTTGGGCAATCTTTGGGGCCGTCTTGAGCCATCTTGGAGCTATCCTGGGTCATCTTGGTGCCATGGTGGCTGTCTCGGCTCGAGGCCGTCTTGGGGGCCATCTTGGCCTTCTTGAGATCACCTGAGAAACAAGTTCGCCCAGAGCTCCGCTCGGGCGCGGCCTCCAACGACCGGTGGCGACGACGATCCAGAAGAAAAGACGGCCCCCTGCCCCCATCTCGCCTCTCTTCGGACGCAGCTCCTGGGAGGTCAAATTCGGATTTAGCCTTGGTCCGAAATCCCGCTGAATCCGCCTTAATCCCGCTCAATCCCGCTGCATCCGGCTTGATCCCGCTCAATCCTGCTTAATCCGGCTGAATCCCGCTTGAGCCGAGGCCCATTCTGGGGCCCCCCGATGAGGACCAATCCTCCTTGGCCCTTCCGACGACAACCTCCCAGTAGTTGCCTCCTAACCTCCCACCCCCCTCTCGCCCCGCCGCCTCCTGGGAGGGCCTGCTCCTCCTCGCCCCCCCCCCCTCGCTCGAGCAGGCCGCCTCCTCCTCCTCCTCCTTGCCTCCCCCCCTCGCCTCGCCCCCGTCGCCTCCTGAGAGGGCCTGCTCTTCCTCGCCCCCCTCGCCCCCCACGCTCGCCGCCGAGAAGCACACTGGTTCGGATGCAACTTCTGGGATGTCAAATTCTGGTTTCGCCCTGGTCCGATAAGCTCAATCCCACTTAATCCTGCTTGGTCCGAGGCCCTTTCCGGCGTAATAGTCCTTCGAATGGGGCTTGATCCTTTGTAATCCTTCCGACGAAAAAAAAAAAAAACGTAGTTGCCTCCTAACGCTGGTAGCCGCAGCGGGTCGGGGGGGGGAGGGCGCGGGGGCACTCCTCTCCCCCCTCGGCAGCCCCGCGCGGGGCCCGCGCGGCGCAGGAAGGCCCTGGGCGAGCGCTCGGGGGAGCGGCTCCTCCAGGACCCGCGCGGGCCTCGGGTTGCAAGTCACGGGAGCTCGGTGCACCCTCTGAATTCCGTTTGTAGCGTCGACTAGCGTCGATCAGCGCTTGGGGTCGTTGAGATAGCGTTGATCTGGCGTGGACTAGCGTCGAGTCGCAAGAGCAGACAAGATGGCATTGGGAGTCTCCCATGAGCTGCCACCGAAGGCGTGCCCGGCCCTCTGGGGATCTCTGCGCGGGCTGTCGCGGCCCGCCCGGCAGTGGGGGGGGGGTGCAGCCTTACATGCGCGGGCGGCGCGCCGTCCCCGGAGGGCTGCTCCCCGGAAGTCGGGCAGGTCAGGGAAGCAGTGGCACGCCGGGGGACACCTTGAGGGGCTGTCGGGGCGCACCCCCTTGCCGAGGACGGGCGCCCCCCTCATCGTTTACCCCAGTGTCCCCGAGTTCGGCCTCAGGTTTGTTGTCCTTTCTGGCGGACGCTTCTCCAACATGTACGCAGCAGTCTCGAAGAAGAGACAACGGCGCAGCGGCGCATATCACATTTCTCGGAGGTCCAGGCGAATTCCCAGGATCGGCGTCGGGCCCCCCTGGCGGCGCCTTCGGCGTCGCCCCTGGCGCGATCGGCGCGACAGGGAGGGGGGATCCAGCGCCGATCCAAGAAATTCGCGCGGACTTCCGACAGTTTATGTTTATGCCGGCGTTTGTTCCTCTAAGCTCGTGCATGTGTTCGCGCAAGATACGCGCGTCATACAATATCAGCACGTGGCTGCCACGCGCCATGCGCCACATAATGAACCAGTGTTTTTGTAAGCGCTCCCATTACGAAAAAGACCGGTTCGGTTGCCCGAAACCAGCGAGGACAGTTTTCGAATATCTTCATCCTGGCAGAGTGCTCAACCACATGCAGTTGTGAGTATCGCCGTTGTGGGAATTGCCTTCGGTGGATCTCCTGCTGGGGTCACGAAGCGCGTAAAGGGTGTACATACAGTCAACCATGATAGTAAGGATGGGGCAACTTTCCAAGGCTACCCTTGCATCCTTGCCCCTTCGGTATTCGGCCTCCTTCTGCATTCTGCTGCGCCTCGCACGGAAAAACTTCAACATGGCGTTCCAAGGCCCTTGCATCCTTTTCGCGCATCCTTACTATCCTGGTTGACTGTAGGGTTAAGTCGGGCCTGTCCCTCTACAGGAGGAAATTCAAAAATAGTCAAAAGCATAGTCTGGGGACTTGTTTTTTGTAGTAGTATGTTTTGACAGTTTGGGACTATGTTTTGAGTGTTGTTTGTTTTTCGTCCAAAATCCCCCTGTGGGGGGACACGCCCGACTGAACTGTAGGGCGGGACTTCATGCAGCTGCAGCCATTGGGGCCTTCGGTGACGCCCCACACGGGACCGCGAGGCGTGCGAGGGGTGTGCCGGCAGGGAGCGGGGCCGCCGCCTGTGGGGCCCTCGGAGGGGGTCCCCACGGGGCCGCGAAGCGCGAGGGGTACTCATTGCACGTTTCTAAGTATTCGAAAGTTCCTTGACTTTTTGGGGGGGCAAGATCCTTTCATTCTTAAAGATTCGAAAGTTCTTTTGTTTTTTTCGGGGGGCAAGATCCTCTCATTTCCAATTGTTCTATCCTGGGCCTCTTCCTGGCCACTAGGGGGCCAGGAACAATCAGAAACGAGCACACTTAGAAATGAGAGCGATTAGAAATGAACGAGGTGAGTGGGCGCGACCATTGAGGCCTCCGCTGGGGCTCCGTGTGGGGCCGCAAAACGCGTGAGAGGTGTGCCGAAGGGGGCGGGGGGAGACGCATGTGATCACTGCCAGTGGGGCCTTCGGTGGAACTCCCTATGGGGCAGCGAAGCGCCGTCCGTACTGAGTGGCGCGGGGCCACGAAGCGCCGTACTGGGTGTCGCGGGACGCATGTGAACACAGCCACTGGGGCCTTCCGTGGAGCTCCTTATGGGGCCACGAAGCGCCGCATTGGATGGTGCGGGACGCATGTGAACACAGCCATTGAGGCCTTCGGTGGAGCTCCCTCAGGGGCCACGAAACGCCGAACTGGGTGGCGCGGGACGCTTGTGAACACAGCCACTTGGGCTCTTCGGTGGAGCTCCCTATGGGGCCACGAAGCGCCGTACTGACAGCCACTGGGCTCTTCGGTGGAGCTCCCTCAGGGGCCACGAAACGCAGTACTGTGTGGAGCGGCCGCTGGGGCCTTCGGTGGATCTCTCTCAGGGGCCACGAAGCGCCGAACTAGGTTAGGCGGGGCGCTTGTGAACACAGCCACTTGGGCTCTTCGGTGAGGCTCCCTATGGGACCACGAAGCGCCGTACTGGGTGGCTTGGGACGCATGTGAACACAGCCACTAGGGCCTTCGGCGGAGCTCTTTATGGGTCCACGAAACGCCGTACTCTGTGGCGCGGGGCGCATGTGAACTCAGCCACTAGGGTCTTCGGCGGAGCTCCTTATGGGGCCTCGAAGCACCGTACTGGGTGGCACGGAACGCATGTGAAAAAAGCCATTGGTCCTTCGGTGGAGCTCCTTACGGGGCCGCGAAGTGCCGTACTGGCTGGCGCGGGACGCATGTGAACACAGCCACTGGGGCCTTCGGTGGAGCTCCCCCTCAGGGTCCACGAACCGCAGTACTGAGTGGCGCGGGACGCATGTGAACACAGCCACTGGGGCCCCAATCTGCCGTACTGTATGGGGTGTCGCGGGACGCATGTTGACAGAGCCGCTGGGGCCTTCGGTGGGGCTCCCTATGGGGTCACGAAGCGCCGTACTGTGTGGCGCGGATCCCATGTGAACACAGCCACTGGGGCCTTTCGGTGGAGCTCCCTCAGGGGCCACGAAGCGGGATAGGACGAGGAAGGAGGGGGAGGAGAAAGTTGAAGTGGAGAGATAAGGAGGACGAGGAGGATGAGGAGGAGGAGGAGGAGATGTTGGGCGCCGTCTTCTCAAAACGAGGGCCCCACGCCACATCATGGTTGGAAAAGACAAAATAGCGTAAACATACATTGTCGAATCTCCGCGCGGATGTCTGGGATTGGCGCTGTACCCCCTCCTTGTCTGTTGCACGGAGCGCGCCAGGGCCGGCGCAGGAGGCGCCGCCAGTCGGGGCCCAGCGCCGATCCAAAACAAGAGCGGAGTTCCGAAGGTCTACGTTTATGCCGCGTGCTGTTCCTCCAAAGCTAGGTCATCCCCAGGAGAGCGCTGATAATCGCGCTTCGCGCACATCGGCTTGGGTCGGAGAGACACCCTACTGTAGAGCGGCGGCGATAGGGTGCGATGATGTGCGCGCGTCGCGCATCGCGGCGCGCGATGCGCGAAGTTAGGTGACCCAGACAAGAGTCCACCGAAAGCGGTCATCCGCATCCACCGCTTCGGAGTCATTGGGGGAGCAAGCGTCGGGAACACGTGGGACTCGGGTTCACCAGAGTCTGGGTTCGCCGATGCATTTAGAAGGCCCCGTCCTGCATTCTAACGGCCCGGTTTGTGCTGGATGTTTGCAGCAGGGGGCTCGCGGCAAATTTCAGATTGGGCCTCGTCATTTTCCTTACGGTCCAGTCAGGCCAAGCCGAGGCCCCCGAACCCAGGTCTTAAGTCTCCCAGACAAGTTGTAACAAAACAGCAGTGTGCCATTGCCGAAAAAATGCCAGGTGCTCGGGCAGAGTGGGGGAAGCAACATGCTGACAGGCTCCCCAACGGCGACCTGTTCTCGATCCCTGAGGACTACCACCAGCAAGTCCTGTCGAGAGGGTCAATTCGACGTTATGATGTCGAGGCTTGCAGCCCGACTCGACGTGGCCCTGTTTACTGGCCGCCCTGCCTACGTCCAACCCCCGAAGGCGGGGAGCGCTGGCACAGTTCCGCCCGCTGGTTCCCAAGGTGCATTGGTGGCACGCTCGGCGTCAAATAGGCCTCTGGGCCACTTTCCCCCGAAAGCTGCCTCGTGGAACCCTTTGATAGGGGCCTCGCACTGCTGCAGTGCTCCGTGTCCAGGCTTGACCTGGTCCCCACGGGCTCCCGAACCGAAGCCGCCAACGACCTGGTCAAGCCAGTTGCTCCTTCCTGCCGGGCAGGAGGAGGCCCTGCTTGCGCCAGACCTTGGCAGTGTCCTCCTCTTGCTCGAGGTCGAAGTCGCCCAGGCCCGCCTCCTTGCGTTCTTCAGGCAACTCGGGGTCGTCCAGGTCCAGGTCGGAGCCGCCGTCTTCGACAGCCACGCCCCCGCCATACAGTCGGACCGCTAAAGGAGGAACCCTTTTCGTTTGGGAGAGGCTCCGTGTTCCTTAGTTGTTTTACAGTGTTGTTCCTTCGGTTGTTCTAAGGTTTTCCATGGAACATCGGTGTTCAACTTATGGGAAAAAGGGGCCTTGTTCCTCTTATGTATCGTTCCTTAGGTCAACGCTCCGACTGTAGGTGCCACCGGCAGAAGGGTCGACCCTGCCAGCTCAAGGGTACCTTTGTGTCCTGTGCCTCGCGACACGTGGCTTCTTACACTCCTGTGGCAATGTGGCCTTCGGAAGGGTCGTGTGTCCTCTCGCGTGTCCTGTCCAATCAAGTCCGACTGTAGGTGCCACCAGCAGAAGAAGCAGCAACCCCAGCACCTGGCGCCGTAACTCGCTCGGCCTCAGCCTTGCGCCCGCGCGTCCTCGGCATGTGTGGCCTCCGAGGCCCCGCTTGGCGCCTTTGGCCAGGGTGCGCAGGGCTGCGGCCCTGGCTGCGGCGCTCGCCTCTCCATCTGTGCGAGCGACTCGAGCAGCCTCTGGCACACCGCCGACGCCTGGTCCTCCTCCTCAGCCTCCTCCTCCTCCTCCTCCTCCTCCTCCTCCTCCGCCTCCTCCTCCTCCCTCGGACCTCTGGTCCGCGTGCCTGCCACGCACAGGTTGCCCTTCGGTTTGCCGGGCACAGGGGCCACGATGACGATCCCCTTTCTCTCAGAAGCCAGGCGAAGGCTGGCAAACCCGTGGCTGCTAAAACGGAGCTCCCGAAAATGGCTGCTTTCTTCTGGGAGGCAGCTTGTTCACTACTTA